CTTCTGGGCTGCAACGCGCCTACGCTTTATGATGATGTCCACGGCGCGCCGCTTGCCAGCGGTAGTCGAGGTCCCAAGGTCACGGGTAGCACTTACCAGCTTCAACTAAAAGCCAGCTGCCCTGAGATCATTGAAGAGCAAAAGCGTAAGCGGCTGATTGTTACCAACAATAGCCGACCTATCAGAAAGAATCAGCTCCACTGACCCGAGAGAGTGGCCGAGGTGGACAGCAGCAGGGAGTAGCTGTCGGCGGACCTCATCCGCACTGCCTTGGGCCGCCTGTGACAAGTCATCGGCATAAGAACGAGTGGGTACTCCAGGGTGGTACCGATGATGCACATCATGAAGGATCTGATACAGATAGACCTTCATCCAAGACATGGATTGCATACACCCTGGGAGCACACCAATGCCGGAAGCAATCACCTCAGAACAGAACCCATTGGACTCCAGCGTTCGAGGGGCCACGTGGATCAGGAGCCCGAGGTGGAGCAGGTGGGGCGGGAAATCCAAACGACAGGCCAGAGAGACTAGCCGCGCTGGTACCACCGTGTCGAAAAACTTAGTGAGGTCCCAGTGCACGGCCACGCTCTTCTGCCCTTCGAACATGGCAACCTCATGGCAGATCTCCCTCCGAAGCGCCGCCTGCGACGCAGAGCTCCCTCTGACAGCATCATCCCAGAACTCCAAGTGGCCCTGGGGCCAGTCCTCCAAGAAAACCCTTAGGATCTTGCAGTAAACCCGATAAAGGGTGGGGCACTTACACGCAGGGCGCTCATCGGTGGCGCTTTTCGGGAGGAGGGCGATGATTCCCAAGAAAATCTGAGAGGGCCACATCATAGCCCGTTCACACGAGGTGTAAAGCTCAGCAAGGGCTCCGAGGGCCTGGGGATCCAACTGGAGGAAATCACGGCGCCTCCAGTGGTCCACACTGACAGCAGTGGTTTCAGAGAAAATACGGCTAGCAGCAAACACCCTCCTAGGCTCAATATCGGGGAGCTCAGGGGCCATCTCAAGGGCCCGCGCGCGAAGCTCATCCAACGCCTCCCCAGGCAACTCGATTTGGGATGGGCTGGCCGTCCAGAAACGGCCCCACTTCTTAGTGCGGTGTGCCATCATTTCCTCTGGCCACTGCAACGCGCACTCGGGCGCGACGAAATACGCTAGCGGGTCACCTTGGTCTCGCTTCAGCCACGCATGGGCCTTCTTAGCCCCGTGCGGCAAAGCCTTCAGGAGCCAGTCCTTGACAGCCTTAGCCGCGGAGCTCTTGGCCGCCTGCCAAGCTTTAGTGAGAGTGCAAGAGCACCGATCGATCAACTCCTGACATCGAGCGGGATCAATGCTCGTTAAGTCTTAAAGCTGAGCTCGCCACTCCGCAGCAGACTGATCAGCAGGTAAGCGCGATGTATATCCATCAACACGCTGGCCAAGGGCATAGAGACGCCGAGCCAATCCCATACGCATATGATGGTACCCGTGCTGTACTGCCACACGTAATTCATACAGCTTCTGGGAAACCGTGGACCAAAACATAAGAACTGGCTCCGAGAAACTGCCCGACGTGTTGCGATGATCAGTAAGTGTGGTGCGCCGCATGCTCATGTGTGTGCCACACCCAGTATAACATTCATACTCATGCTCATGCTCGATGTGCTCGTGCAACATACACATGTCTTCAGTAGCCCTGGACCATAGCTGATACGACGACGTCAGCTCACACGATAGGTGCTTGCAAACATGAGGGACGAGATGAGGGCACCGATGATGCTCCGAGCGCCACCGAGACAGAGCGGCGCCAAGATAATGAGTCCATGGCAAACGCGGGCCTTCAACATGAGGAAAACTGCGCGGTTTCACCCTCCTGCACAGCTGCTGCAGCAGAGCGGAGTGAGGCAAGCGAATGTCCAGAGCACAGTGCGTTTTGAAAGGGGACGCGTGATAATTGGTTACCTTCAGGAACGGCGCCAGAGTCTCACTGGCCACAACATAATCAATCAGCGTACCCTTTCCCAGACTGCACGTATAGCTCACACCCACCGGTGGTAGGGCTCTGCTCTGGGTCATCTTCAGGAACCCGCAAAGCTCCATCAGCTCAATGTCAAAATTGAAATCCCCAACTCGGAGACACGGCATTCTGAGAGAATTCACAGAGTTACTGATGTGCCTCATCTTACGTATATTCTCCCCCGAGACCCCCAAGTCAGCGACCATAGACGACGCCTACAGCTATGGTACACCTGAGAGTTTTCAACTCCAGAAACATCCAACCGTTTCCAGCTCCTACTTCACTGGTTGCACGATCATGCGCCAAGAAACGTTTAAATACAAACCTTTGCGCACAGCGGCCCCAACCCCCCCATGGGCCCCACCCCCAGGGGAAGGGGTGGCAGGGAGGAAATGGGGCCGCCAGTTCATGGCGGCCACATGCCGCTTAGCATCCTTCAGCTCAGAGGGGAGCTGGCGGTGTTCACAAAACAGGAAGGCGTCAGCCTTGCAATGTAAGCCAGCCAGAAAAGACTTAGCCAGCGCACTCCAACGGGTTATATGACAATACAGAAGCCTCACTTGCCGCTCACTGAGAAAGCTCAGACTGTGGCATCTGCGTGGCCGCAGCTTTGAACATATCCTTGAACTGAGCTCCCACTGACTCCTGGGCACGTCGCATTCGCTTTGCAGCACGTGCATGAGACTTCTTGGACATGGGCTCCTCCATGCGATGCTGGTCCTGCTCGCCGATGGCGCCCTCAAGGGGGCGCTTCTTGAGGGCGGCCAGCTCATCAGCAGCCCCAGCAGGAAGATCGCCAGCATCAGAGCCAGCATCAGACCCCGCCTCCGACGAAGGCACCTCGTAGATCTGCCGCTGCATCTCCACGAAGCGCTTGACGAAATCGAGGGGGAGCTGCCGACCAGAACAGAACTCACGCAATTGTTCATCGCCATAGCCAGCGAGATCAGGAACGTAGTCATGCATGCGAACGTCACCATCACCACGTCCACCAGCAGGACGAACCCATGCGCCGCCCGCCGCAGCTGCGCCGCCGCCGCCCCGCGCGGGGGCGCCGCCCGCAGGGGCAGCGCCAGGCGGGGGCTGCGGCTGGGCCGCCCTCGCGCCCGCGTCGCGAGCAGCGGCAGCAGCAGCGGCGAGCTCCTGCCGCTTGTTGGCGATCCAGTCGACCTCACGGAAGGCGGCCGCGGCCTCGTCCGCAGCTTTCTTCTTCGCCTGCGCCTCCTGCTCCTCGACCTGGGCCGCGCACATGGCAGCCTGCGCCTCCTCCAACTGCTCCTGCAAACGTTGAACCTTAGGGCTGCGCTGATGCAGGTCCTGGGACGCAAGGCGAACAACACGAGCTTGGTACTCCACTTCGCGAGTGAGCCGCGTGCGTTCAGTACATGCTCCATCATTGAGTTGAGCCTGGGACCACTCAACAACTTCTTGAGGTGGAGGCTGCGCGAACTCGCCCAGCTGCCCTTGCAACTCAGGACGAGCAGCCAAGAGCACCTGCGCTGCCGCACGGAGGTCGGCACCATCATCACCTCCCTGTGCAGCCTGGACATGAGCTCCTCCACCCCCGCCAGGACGACCACCAGGGGCTCCAGTAGCGTCTCCGATGTAGAGGCCACCACACTTCGAGCAACACCAGTTGCCGTAGGCCCGATACTCCCAGTGCCGACAGGCGGAGCAGACATCATACTGCTTCTTCTTGCCACCGCCCCCCTTGGCGCCGCCGCGGCCGCGCCAGCCGCCGCCGCCGTTGCGCCATGGGGCGAGGTCGCGCCAGGCCATAGCAGCCCTGCGCAGGAATGGAAACCGAAAAGGAGACGGATAAGCACCTGTTGCAAGGGTGCCGTGACTGCAAAAATGGCCCCTCTGGCCGCACTCGAGCGAGGTTGGGAAGTTCAGGAGCAGGCCCCTTGAGCCAAAATGGCTACGTGGAGGAGGAGGAGGAGGAGGAGGAGGAGGAGGAGGAGGAGCAGGAGGAGCAGGATGAGGAGGAGGAGGAGGTTTCTGGGAGGTTTGCGGAAGTCGTCGGAGATTTTCGGGGCACGGGGTCGCCACTGTCAGCTGCGCCTCGTCGAGAGCAGAGCATGCGGGGGGGTGCCCGATATCGCCCCCAACGGCCGCTGGAGGTTTGAGTTGTGGCCTGGAAGCCATTCGGATCAGGGCCGCCGACAGGGGGGTGGACTGGCCCAGAGGGGGAGGCATCGACTCCCTATCGCCCGTCTTGGGGCGTTCTTGGAGCCTCTTGGGGCCCTCTTGGGCCGCTCTTGGGCGCCTCTTGGGCGCCTCTTTGGGCCGTCTTGGCCGCCGCTCGGGCTGTCTTGGGGCCCTTTTGGGCCCGTCTTGGGAGCCTCTTGGGCCGTCTTGGGGCGGGTTCGTGGGCCTTTTGGGCTGTCTTGGAGCGTCGGGAAGCCGAAAAGGCGTGAACGCCACACTCCGTCAACAACCCAAGGAACATCACCGATTTTAGCCTCTTGGGGCCCTCTCAGGGCGCCTCCCGGGGCTCTCTAGGAGCGTCTTGGGGGCCTCTTGGGCCGTCTTGGCCTCTCGGGGGCGTCCTTGGCAGGCTCCGCGGCCACTTGGAACCGTCTTGGGGCGGTCTTGGAGCCTCTTGGGGCCCTCTCTGGTCGCTCTTGGGCGCCTCTTTGGCGCTCTTGGGGCCGTCTTGGGCAGCCGCTTGGGCCGTCTTGGGGCCCTCTCGTGCGAGTCGTCGGCGGAAATTGCGCAGCGGTATTGATCTCTGATCTTTTGTCTGAACTCCTCAAGTTCGGGCCCTGCTCACAGGGCGTCTAAACTCCCGTGCCTCTGAGCACAAGCGAGGGGGCGCTAGAGCCGAGACGGTAGCAGGCAAAATACACATGTCAAACTACACAATCAGTCACAAACTGAAACCAAGCAACAATATGGAACATGGAAACAAATATGGAACATCTGCCACCCTGCTGGACTCACTCACTCATGCTCAGGCTTGCTCACCCTCGGAATTGCACGGATAAGGGTCCTCCAAGCTGAGCATCCTTGAGTCCGCCTCCTCGTCTGAACTGTACTCGGTCATGGCCTCATATGGCGGGAAGTCTGGGCACGCAGCTGCATTGACGTGGGCCATTGTCCCGCCTGGCGTTTTGAGGATGCCCGCTCCCACGTGCTCGAACGGCTGGATTCCAGCGGCCTTCCTCCTCCGTGCACTCTGGTACTTCTCGTCGTAGACCAGCTTCCAGCGGTGCCCGTTGTTGAAATACATCCGTAACTGCCCTGGCTCGTGCCCCTTCGTCAGCGAGTTGGCGAGTTGGGCGTCCCCATGTACCCAGAGCATCCAGTTGTTCGCCGCCTGCGTCCCCTCCTTCAGGGTCATGGCCTCCACGTCGGTCCGCTTCTCCTTGCCCCGGAAGGTGTAGACCGTCGTCTGCAGCTTGTCGTACAGGCCCTTTGAATCTACAACCACTGCTCCTGGCAGTCTGCGTAGAATCCCCTCGGGCTTCCTCCAGTCGATGTTGTTGCCTAGGATCTCTAGCCATTGCAACTTGATGCCAAACAGCTCGTCCTCAGCATCAACGGCGGAGCGTGTCTCACATGCCACGGAACTGCGGCAACCACGATCGATCTTCCCGGACTTCCAGGATATGAGGCTCACGTCCGCCTCGTCTCCCCGGAGGATCCTCAAAGGGGCCAGCCCCGCCACCAGGCCCTTGGTGGACTTTCCGTCGGGACGGTTGGCCTCGGAGGAGTCGGACCACTCCACTGGCACCAGAACCTGTGCCTGAGAGTGGCTGTGTATTACTACGGGTAGATCCGCACACTCACGAACACGATCGACCAGGCGGTTGGTCTCGTTGATGGTCTGCACGGTGGACGATGGTATGGTGCTGAGCAGAAGGCTCGTGTCGGCCGAGTGCATAGGGCCTGACTGCTCGGATCTCCACCCGATGGCCCCTAAGATAGCCCTCAGCTGGCCCTTCTCCTTGTCGGTGGTCGGCAGGTCCTTTTCCTTCTTGCGCTCCGGGGTGAGGTACGCCTTCTCGATGGTCTTCACATACTCGCTCTGATCCATGCGGAAGCTCCTGTCGGGCTGCTGCTTGATCCGCACCCCCGTCTGCATAAACTCCCCCGACTCCCAGGCTTTCCACTTGAAGCGCTTCTCTATCTGTTCCCGGGCGGTGATCCACCGGGGGTCCGTGTCGTTGCCACCAAGCAGGAAGTCGTCCACGTGCGACCCCGCAATGGCTATGATCTCCATGTCCCCCTTCGCCGCGATCAGGTCCCCGAGCACCTCTGGGTTTGTGAAATCCTTCAGCGCCTCCTTGGTGAAGCCGTTATCCCTGCCGTGGCCGTCACCGTAGAGCACCCACACGCAGGGGTCCATCTTCATCTGGGTCCAGCCGAACTCCTCCAGTGCCTCGCTCACGGTCATGAACCACTCGATCGCTGCTTCCACGAGCCCGTAGACCGCCTTCCTGAGCCGCATCGCAACGCCCTCGGGCATCCCCAGCGCTGCCGCGAGCTCCTTCACAGGCATCACGAACAGGTCATGCTGGATCTCTCTGTTCTGCGTGAAAGCCCCTGTCACGTCCGCTTTGTAGCCTTTGAAGCCCAACCACGCCATCGTCTGCAGCACCAGGTGCCTCGAAGTTCTCGTCATGGTTGGGGCGGTGGTCGGACGGTGCTCGTACTCGGGGTCCATATAACCCAGGACCACAATCCTTGCCTTCGGCTTCTTCGTGCCCGTGTTCTCGTCCACCTTCCACTCGAGGATCCACCTCATGCGCATGATGTCCTCGGGGGGCGGAGTCACGCCTGATGGGAGCGTCTCCAGCACCGAAGACACAATGTAGTTGTTCACCTCCGTGGCCTTTGCCTGGCCGAACTTCGCCACCTCGTCCGGGGTCAACGTTCTTTCCGAGATCTCGCGCTTGCCCTTTCGCAGCTGGCTCGCCATGTAGGTACTCATGTGCCGCGTGGCCTGCTTGAGCGGCTTCCCCTCCAGGGGAACCTCAACGGAGACCTCCAGAGACGTGCCCTGACGAGCCCAAAAGGCCCGGGCGTCTGGAGTGGACTTCGCCATGAGGGCCATGTTCTCCTTCATCTGCTCCTCCGCCAGGGCTGCTCGAGACGCTCGGACTTGGTCGGCTGTTCCTCCTGGATGGTATCCTTTCTTGAGTATTTTCTTCCGCACTGGTGGTGTTGAACTGCTCCTTGAGGCCTGGCTTCCTTCTGTGGCTTGTCCTTGTGCGGGCTTTCTTCAGTGGAGGGGCTGGTTCAGGTATTCCCTCCCAGGTCGAGACCTCCATGTCGTCCTCGGTGGGGTCGTGGCCCGTGAAGTCCAGGTATTCGTGCTTCATCGCCTGGTTCATGAAGGTGTGGACTGTCCAGGGCGTGTCTTTGCCTCCCATCAGCTCTGCGTAGGCGATCTCCCGTGAGGAGGCTGCCCGGATCTGGCAGAGGTCCACCTTGATGATACGCCCGGCTCGTACAAGCCACACCACAGATCCTGCACGCCCAGGGTGTAGGGCCCGTCCTTCGCCAAGGTCCCCGTCCACCGGCCGCGCCGTCTCTGTGGCCAGGACCCTCGCGAGCCCTTTGAATCGGCCCTTGGCTTCACCTTTCTCCTTCCGGAAGTAGCGCACCCACATGCCTGGCACCACGGACTTCACCGCCTGATTCTTCGCGTTCTCTGCCCTGCTGATGCGTCGCATGTAGACTTGCCTCAGGTACTCCTGCTCGGCAGCATACATCCTGGTGTAGTTCTCCCCGAACTCCTTGTCGACCCTCTGGGCCTCCACGTAGGGCAGTTCGTCGAAGTCGCTCTCAAAGAAGTGTCCGTCCAGGTCTGGTGCTCGCCCGAGGGCATGTTGAAGGGGGGAGTGTCCTCGGACATCTTCTCGTGAGTTCCCAGCTGCGGTCGCTCTGGCCAGGGCTTCCTCCGTCGTCATCTCGGGGTTCTCCGTCACCAACTTGTCCATGGTCCCCTTGGTGGCCTGGATGGCCTCCTCGGCGAGGGAGATGTGCCAGTGGGCCTGGCCAGGTATGGGTTCGTACGCGATGGAGTCGGAGTCAAAGTACTCAGCCGCCTGCTTGGACATCCAGGAGCCCTCGGGGTCCACTTTCACCCTCTGTGGTTTGCCGAAGTAGGGCATCCAGCGCTCCTCGTAGAACTGCTTGAGGTCGGCCCACACGGGATTCCTGTGCCGGTCCTCGCCAACCATGTGGTACAGTAGCTTGCTGACGCGCACCCGGCAGTTCTCGTCTATGATCAGGGATATCTTGGACTTAACCTTCGTCTGCGGGTGCTCCCATTCGAACTGGTCCGCCTGGATGTGCTTCCACTTCGGCGGGATGGCTTCCATGCTGACCGGCGGATGTGTGGGCTTGAACTTGTGCGCCTCTTCGCAAGCGTCGCAGTGGAAGTCCTCAGCCACCTGTAGCACCTGTGGGCTGGCGCCCTTCCTCCGAAGTGCGTTCAGCATGGAGGCCTTCGAGCTGTGACCTGAGCCACGGTGTATTGAGGTGAGCCACCTCATGATCTGCTGGTACTCCTTCGAGCTCAAGTCCGGGTTCATCTTTGCCTCCTCTTGGTTGGCTGCCATCGCCTGGTCGGCCGCCTCCCCGGGCTCCACCACGCACCTCATGAACTCGTGGTAGTCGGGCGCGGCCTCCTCGGTCATCGCCCGCACAGCTCGTCTGGCAAACTCGTCCGGGTAATAGCTGGTGGCCGCAGTCAGACTGCCTCCCGTGAGTTCCCCATGTCGGTGATCTCCTGGGCATTCCAGGGACATCCGGGCTGCCATCTTTGGAGACGTCGTAGCGATAAGCCACTCCTTTAACAGCGGCAGGCCCTTCCCGTCCTTCACGCCGAGCTGGCAGCCTGCCACCTTCACCACCGTCATGGAGCAGTCCTCCACCATCTTCCTGATCATCGTGTGGCCCCAGCCTTCGCACTTGATGGGCCACTCCCAGTGTACATGCTTGCCTTGAGCCACCTGGTCATACACCAACTGCACCGCGCCCTTGTACTCCTTGATGGCCTGCAACCTGCGCTTCCTGGTGGCCTCGGCCCTGATGGGGTTGGAGCCGTTGAAGCCGAGGGTGAGGGTAGACAGGGGGCCGCACCTCGTACTGATCCACAGGTGGTCTGGTTCAGCCTCATCACGTGCCTCCCGAGCCCTCTGGTTGCCGCCAGGAGTCCCCAGCTTGAAACCGTTCCACGCACTGATGCGGCATACAGCGTCCTCGCCGAACTTCTCCGCCATCTTAGTGCTCAGGATGGATGTCGGGCTGCACGTGATCTCCATCAACTTGGTACTGCCGTGGGCCATCAGCGCCTCGTAGTCCTCAACGTGGCCGCTCTCCTGGATGCACTTGGCAAGCCAGCGCTGCTTCCTGGGGTCCAGCTCCTTCGTGCAGTTCAAACCTCTGCCAGACCACTCGGACTGGAACCCACTTGTATGAAGCTCCCGGCGTTGGAACTGGCTGAGCTCGCCTGGCCCTCCAGCTGGCCAAGCCTCTGGTTGAGCTGGTTCAGCGCCGTCAGCATCTGCTCCTGGACCAAGCGGTTGGACTCCTTCTCCTCCTTCTGCATCTTGATCGCAGCCTCGAGCTTCTCCTGCTCCTCGATCTCGTCCTCCATGATCGCGTCGACCGTTCTCCTGCGGGATGACCTCGCGCCCCCTCGAGCCTTGTCTGGCTCTCTCGGGACCTCCTTCGGATCCCTGGTCACCCCGGCCTTCTTGTCGATGATCTCCTGCTCGTTGAGCCATGAGGCAAACCGGGCCAGCTCCCAGCTGCTCTCCTGGTTCGCCTCCTTCTGGCACCAGGCTGCGTAGGAGGGGTACTGGCTCCGAACCTGCTGGTAGGTCATGGCTCCGTGCTTCCCGAAGCCCATGTAGTCGGTCGGCTCCGGGGTATGCTTCATGAGAATGGCCTTGCGGATCGAGAGCTTGAGTGACGGATTCGTCATGCCCTGTGTCACGTGGGCGCCTACCTCCTCTGCCTTCGCCAAGAGCTGGGACTTCTTCATCGAGCTGAGACCCTTCATGGCCATCTGCACTGGCGTCTCGTCCTTCGGAAACATGTGCTCCTTGAGAACCTGCTTCAGCTCGTCCACGCCCCAGGCCGGACTGCATGGTAGGCCAAGCTCCTGAAGTAAGTGAAGCACCTCCGCTTTGTAGAGGCCCTGTACTGCACTGCGAGACGTTGGCATCTGAAGTGGTCGCACCGCACGAGCATGCGATCCTGGCGCAGGTGAGCTGGACCGCTCCGCGGATGATGCTACCCCAGCGCATCTCTGTGCTGCCATCGACGGCCTTCGGCCTGGAATATGGGATATATGGAAGATCTGGTGGATCTGGAACTGCGGGTGGCTGGATGCCGTCGGTCGCTGTCGACTCGAGTGAACTTGCCTGACTCGAGCCCGAACGGCTATGGATCTGCAGCGGGACCCCCTGGTTCACCTGGGATGCCCGGTTCAGCTTGAACTGAGACTGGACACTGGGGCGGTCGCTGCCTTCAACTGCGGGACCCTCCTGAGGCTGTGGCCAACTGTTGTGATGAATGCTGCGGCCTTGGCCACATGACTGGCCTCGGCACGCCCCGGCTGAAGCAACTGGAGACGCATCGGTGACAATGCTGTGATCGGATTGAGATGGATACATGTAGCGCTCCAACTGCTGAGCCCGGTCATCCGAGCTGCTGTCCGGCCCCTGGCACACTGCGGCCACGGGCTGGCGGTCCCACTCACGCATGCTCTCACAGATGGTCTTGAAGTTCCGCAGCTGGCTCTGGTCCTTGACGCGCTGCTCCAGCAAGTCGTCGACCAAGCTCAGGTAGTAGTGGCCTCCGTCAGGTGACTCCTCCAGCTGCACGGGGATGTCCGGTGCGAGTTTCACGAACACGGCCACCCCAGTCTCGCAGTCCACGACGGCCCCGAGCTTCTTCAGCACCTTCTTGGACACCAGGATCGGGACGTCCTTCGAGAAACCGTTGATGGCGATGTCGCCTTCCACGCCCGCGCCCGTGATGCCGAACTTCACCTGTCCGTAGGCGCGCTCCTTCTCGCCATTCCCGAAGCTGTAGACTGGCCTGTAGTCCAGGTTCACGTCCAGCAGCCTGGTGTCGCCATACTTCTCCAAGTTCTTGCGGGCCACGATGTCCAGGGCGCGCTCACCACCCATGGCGTCCGTGCACCCTAAGTCGACGATGCCCTTGCCCTCGAGGATGGCCTGGTCCGCAAACATCGCCTCGCACTCCGACTCCCGGGGCTCCTGCTCGGCGACCAGCGAGGCCACGAGGTTGAACTTCAGCTCCTTCCTGCACTCTGCCACCTTCGCGCTCGCGTCTGGCGTCCCTGCAGCTCCCGGCCGTAGACGTGGGTCATGACGGTCCGGGCAGTCCTGAGCCCAGTGGGGTCCTCCACACTTCGCGCACCTCTTCTGCCCCTTGTTTGGTGGCAAGATCTTGCCTTTGCCTCCTACCTGGGGAGGAAGTGGTCGGCGTGATCCCGCTGGGAACCCCTTGCCTGACCCCTTCGGCGCTGGCCGACCTCCCCGGTAGAAGCCCCTGCTCAGCCTGCTGTCTGCCTGAGCTTCTCGAGCCTGGCGGAGGGTACGCTGGGCGGTGTGGATCGCCGCAAGCGCCTCCGCCTCCTCCTGCTGAGCCGCCAAGTAGCTCTCAATGTCATCATCGTTCGCCTCCTCTGGGCCTGGTTCTTCCTCCTGCCACTCGCTGTTCTCCATGTCGGCCACGAAGCTGCTCGCATCTGGTGCCTCATCTCCGTCAAGCCATGTGCGATCATCTTCTCCGAGCTGGGCCGTGTACGCCTTCGGGAACCGTGAGTGCCCATCACGCTCCGCCAGGTCATCGTCCTCCCAGCTCGAGATCAGCTTCTCCCGGCTGGTGTTGACCTCCAGCGAGCCGCCGGTTGCCGTCATGATGGCCGCCCGCTCGCGCGAGTCAAGGCCTGACCGCACGAGCATCAACCAGCCCAGGACCAGGCTCGGGAACACTTCTGGCATGTCCCCGAGCTCCTCCTCGGCGTCCTCATCCTGGTCAGCAGCGCTCCAGAGGTGTGAGTCCTCTTTCTCATCGTCTGGCAGGCCGTCCGTGTACTCCCATGTCCATTCGCTACCCTCGAATGGCCAGCCACGTTCGACCTCAACCCAGCGGTATGGTCGCCCTGCCCGCTTCCACGCTGGAGCGACCTGGACCGGGACCGTGTGTCCCAGCGCGCGTGCCAGCGCGCGTCTGAGGTACTGGTAACCTGTCTCGAAGCGGTCCGTCCACTGCTGCATTGGCTCGAGCTTGCGGCGCTTCGTCTTGATCAAGAACGTCTCGAGCTCCTGGCCTACGTCTGGCACGGCTTGTCGAGAGCATCTGCGCTCCAGCCACGCCAGGAGCCTCTCCACGCCATCTGGTCTGGAGAGCCACCCAGCCTTGCAGCGCTCGACCGCGATCTCGGCCCGGCCCGTGAGCTTCGCCTCCAGCCGCGGGCCGCACAGGTACCGGTCCTCCTTCTTGGTGCCCTCCTGGTACTGGAGGGCTTTCCGCCTGTATGTCCGCCAAGTCTTGGGATCCCCATCCCAGCTTGGCACCTTGCCTCGATGATCCTCGGTCATCGTAGTTCCTCTCCGTGTCAACCACGTGCTCCTGCTACCATGCGAGTCGTCGGCGGAAATTGCGCAGCGGTATTGATCTCTGATCTTTTGTCTGAACTCCTCAAGTTCGGGCCCTGCTCACAGGGCGTCTAAACTCCCGTGCCTCTGAGCACAAGCGAGGGGGCGCTAGAGCCGAGACGGTAGCAGGCAAAATACACATGTCAAACTACACAATCAGTCACAAACTGAAACCAAGCAACAATATGGAACATGGAAACAAATATGGAACATCTGCCACCCTGCTGGACTCACTCACTCATGCTCAGGCTTGCTCACCCTCGGAATTGCATCTCGGGCCGTCTTGGAGCCGTCTTGGGAGCCTCTTGGGCCGCCTTGGGGCGGTCTCGCGTGCCTTTTGGGCTGTCTTGGAGCTTCGGGAAGCCGAAAAGGCGGGAACGCCACACTCCTTCAACAACCCAAGGAACATCACCGATTTTAGCCTCTTGGGGCCCTCTGAGGGCGCCTCTCGGGGCTCTCTTGAAGCGTCTTGGGGGCCTCTTGGTCCGTCTTCGCTTCTCGGGGGTGTCCTTGGGAGTTTCCGCGGCCACTTGGAACCGTCTTGGGGCGGTCTTGGAGCCTCTTGGGGTCCTCTTGGGCCGCTCTTGGGCGCCTCTTTGGCGCCTCTTTGGGCCGTCTTGGAGCCGTCTTTGGGAGCGCGCTTGGGTGCCTTGGGGTCGGTCTTGGGGCAATCTTGGAGGAGATCGGTCAAAGAAGACGAAAGCATGTATTTAGCCCCCCCGGGGCCACGATCCTTGTGAGGGGTGTGAAAAATTAGCTCCCCAGGGACCCACCCCCCGTCCAGGCCCAGTGGGAGGGGGGAGGGGGGGAAGAAGGGGATGAACAGAGCGGGCTCCCTAAACCACTCGCGCCCAGAGGGCTGGTGGGATTCGGCGCGAGACCCCAACCAGAGCTTAGGCCGACGAGCACCGACATCGCGATTTTGGTGCGAAGCCCCAACCAGAGCTGAGGCCGTCGAACATCGAAATCGAGATTTCGGTGTGGAGCCTCAGCCAGAGCCCAGGCCGACGGACACCGAAATCCAGATTTCGATGTGAACCCCCCGCCGGATCGGAAGAGAGGAGGAGGGTGGAGAGTCGAGGCCGGCAAACACCGAACTCGAGATCTCGATGTTTCTTAAATCTTGGTTTCGAGCTCTTCCCACCTGAGGGACATCCATTCTTTCCGCATCCTCGGGCTCTCCTGGAGCGCTTCATGGAGTCCCCCTGGTCAGTCTTGAAAGCCTCTCCAGAACGGCTCTGGCTTCCCTTCTCCCGCTCTGCTCCATCAGGGGTGCCCGCCGCATTGCGCTCGCAGCGGGATTCACGGCGGGCGCCCAAGGGGGAAACGAGCACGCACATCTTGCAATCGGTGGGTCGAGTGCGTCGAATTGGGGATCTTTTGCAATCTTCGTGGGCCAGCTGCACGAAGTGCGTGCCGAAGGCCCCTCAAGCCGTTTCGAAGATCCAGCTCGGTGCCTCTGTAGGCCCAAGAGCTAAGAAGTTTTTGAGGAATGTGTGGAATTGAGGCTCCCATGAGCTATCCTGGGGGGGGGAGCATTTGAGGGTTTCTGCGGGTCCATGGGTCACGAGGTGTGCGAGGGGTGCCCCGAATTGGGGCTCCAGGCGCCAACCCATCGGATCTATACGGTTGCAAAAAGCATGGGAACGCAGACTCACGTTGTTGTTACATGTTTTACCTGCCAATGGAGCCTGACAGCGCATATAAGTAGTAGTCTACGTGTCCCAGGATAACCGATCAGAGGAATTCGTGGAACCGCCCCTAAAAATTATTTTGCATGCGATCTTCATCAACCTCTCCAAAATTTCCAACTTCTCCATCTCTTGTGAAGTCAGACGGCTCTGTCCGCCCTGCTTCCGCTTCTCTCAAAGGGGGGCGCCGAGTTCAGTCGCTTCGTATATTTCGCCCGCCTGCACACCATTGTTGGCACTTGCCTTTATTGAGAAGGGCCGTGGACGAGCGCGTAAAGTCAAGAGAGGAGATACCTGTCAACGTGAAGCGACGAAGGATCAAACAGTTCGGCTCATGCGAGTTCGTTCAGGGTATTCGCTGGTTTCTCTTGTAGCCTGCACGTTGAAGTACAGTGTGTGCTGGCTGGTCGAAGGCATGATGTATTGGATTGTCAGGCGCTCTTCAATCGCATGCGTCGCCCCCGCCCAATACAGCATTTCGTGGCCCCAGAGGGAACTCCATCGAGAGTCCCAATGGCGCAGTCAGCATTCGGCTTCCCCGCCCGGTACAGCGTTTCGTGGCCCAAGAGAGAGCTCCACCGAAGGTCCCATTGGTTTAGTCCGCATGCAGTTCCCCCACCCAGTACAGCGCTTCGTGGCCCCATAGGGAGCTCCACCGAAGGTCCCAGTGTCGCAGTCCGCGTGCGGTTCCCCCACCCAGTACAGCGCTTCGTGGCCCCATAGGGAGCTCCACCGAGAGTCCCAGTGGCGCAGTCCGCATGCGGTTCCTTCCGCCCAGTGCAGCGCTCCGTGGCCCCACAGGGAGCTCCACCGAGAGTCCCAGTGGCGCAGTCCGCATGCGGTTTCCCCGCCCAGTAAAGCGCTTCGTGTCCCCAGAGGGAGCTCCATCGAATGTCCCAGTGTCGCAGTCCGCATGCGGTTCCCCCACCCAGTACAGCTTTTCATGCCCCCATAGGTAGCTCCAACGAATGTTACAGTGGCGCAATTAGCATGCGGTTCCCCCACCCAGTACAGCGCTTCGTGGCCCCATAGGGAGCTCCACCGAAGGTCAGAGTGGCGCAGTTCGCATGCGGTCCACCGGCTCAGTACAGCGCTTCGTTGCCCCGTAGGGAGCTCCACCGAAGGTCCCAGTGGCGCAGTCCGCATGCGGTTCCCCCACCCCCATAGGGAGCTCCACCGAAGGTCCAGTGGCGCAGTCCGCATGCGGTTCTTGCGCCCAGTGCAGCGCTTCGTGGCCCCATAGGGAGCTCCACCGAAGGTCCCAGTGGCGCAGTCCGTATTCGGTCCCCCCGCCCAGTAAAGCGTTTTGTGGCCCCAGAGGGGGCTCTACCGAAGACGATACTTACAAAACCGGTATGCACAATTGCATATAGTTGGGTCCTTCGCCAGGCTTTTTTTGTGAGGGATCGTAGTCCGGGGAGCGCGGACCCATCGTTTTCCACTAGATTTCGTGGCCTCGGGAGGGGTTGGGATGCACGCAACACTCCGCTACCGGGAGAGAAGGGGGGGTCCGTTAGAAGATTACAGAAACCTTGTACCAGACAGCACATGGCATTCTGCCACGCCTCAATGTGCCAGGGGGCACGGTGGCGGATCTGGCGGTCCTGACAGCCTGGGTGGCCGTGTGGGTCGCGTCCTGGAGGCCTCGTTGGTCATTGCGGCGGCCGTCTGTCGCCTTTCAGGCCGCGCACGGGGAGTTCAGCTTCCCGCGGCGGACTTGCCCGAGGGATCTCCTGGTGACCTTCCACTCAGGGAGCCACGGGGGCTGGCACAGACGAGATTACAGTTAGCTATTGAGAGCTTCGCAGCGGAGATCCTTTGCACGCTTGTGGCGCTTCGGGCCAGCTCTTTTTGTTTGATCTCCGTTGGTCTTCGGGACCGCCGTTGGTTTTCGGGGCTCTCTGGAAGCCTCAGATCTCTGGGGACCCCAGCAGCAGCAGCAGGAGGACTGCTCTCGGGGTTCACTCTTCGTGTCCTTTCCCTCTCCCCCTCGTCGTCGCCATTGTCGTCTGAGTTCTCTTTCGCTTCTTGTCTTGTCCTTCCCCTCGTCAATGTCGTCTTCCTCCCATCCCGCCCCCCCTCGTTCTCGGCATCATTCTCGTTAGTGCCCTCCTATCTCCGCATCAGCTTCGCCCATTCGGCCGCCTGCTGCACACTGGACCTGCCCACCTCATGGCCCTGATTCACGCGGCCATGGAGGCCACTTCTCGGTCCTGGGGCCAGGCCATTTTGGAGGATCTTCGATGGCTTCAGTTGCACACGGGGCGGTTCAGAGATTTTCCTGATCCAGGTGAGGATCTCAAAGTTTGGGAAATGGAGGCGAAGAAATCGCCTACCTCTTGGAAGCAGACGATCCGCCGAGCGTTGGAGCCTCACACTCGCCACCTGCAGCGCGACACACTTGCCAGTAAGATCTTTTACGTTCTCGAGTCCGCGGGCGTGCCGCCTGCGTGGGATGATGCTAGACACCGCCTGCGTCAACAGGATCTAGCTGATTCTAAGTAGTATGTTTGCATATGGTGTGGGTTACCGTTCGCTGAGGTTCGAGGGCTGCGGGTACATATCAACAGGATGTATCATACCAAAGTCGATGTCATTCGAAATTGTCAGGGCCCTGAGCTTCATTGTCGTACGTGTTCCCAGACCTTCGCGCATAGGTTGGCGTTAACAACACACCTGGCATTTGATGATTTGAAATGTGCAGTTGGGCTAGTTGTCTCCGAACCTCGTTGCACAGTGGCGGATGCCAAGCTGCTGCGACAAGCGGAAGACGCCAGACTGCGTGGACAACGCAAGGCTAGCCAAGGCCGCTGGCGCTGAGAAGTTCCAGCCACTCGCATTCAGGGATTTTATCGACAACCGATTATTGAAGAGTTCGCCTGGCACCTTACCCCCCAAGATGCCCTGAATGTCTTCCTTGAGACAGACCCGGCCATCCCTAATGACAAGATAGAAGAGTATCTGAGCATCTTCAAGGACGTCGAGCCCCCACAGATGCCCGACAAAGAGCCTCCCTTCTACCTCCGCAACCCGGGATCATTTCAAGGTATATCATCCGTGTCGGTGCCGATCAGGATCCGCAGATCTTGCTTCTTTGTGCTCAACCTATACTGCGGCCAGAGGCGCGCAGGTGATGTTCAGTGGCAGATAGAGTTCGCAGTCACGAAACCCACGGTCGAGATAG